GAACACTACATTGCCAACAAAGAACAATATGTTACACCAAGGAAGAACACTACATTATCGACATAGAAAACATTTATATCACAATAATAAATATAATAATAGTAATAATAACTGAGACATTAATCGTTATTATGCTACTCTGTGGGCATTTGATTGCTGGTGAAATATTTGGCTGTAAAGGTCAAGTACTGTGAAGCGGTGAGTCAACAACAAGTTTGAACCATGTGAGGCATCTGTATTCTGAACAGAAGTTGCTCAAGTCTCCCAAAGTGGTAAAGACTTCTCCCACAATGTGGCAGGGTGAATTCGGGGCATGTAAGGTCCCGCAAAAAGTTGGTCAGGGTTCAGGGGAGAAAATAGTCCGCAGACTGCGGCGTTGTGCTTTCATGGAGCGACGGAAATCTCTGCGTTCCTGACAAAGCAACTTAAGCCACTCTTCCTTGTCCACCAAGGACTTGCAAAGGACTCGTTGACAGCTTGTTAGCATCGGTTGAATTTCCTTAGGCAAGTCAACAGGACCTACTCTCCATTTGCAATTTAACAAAAGCAGAATTGGCAAGTGCAAAGGATCTATGAGAAAATCGACTTTTCCAATAATTCTTCTTCCACGCCACAATAAATATTATTGTCTGTGGCGTGGGCTATTCAGTTTTTAGACTATTGCTATATCTCAGGAGGAGATACCAAATCTAAGGTTGAAGGTTACCGTTTGCCTAAGTAATTTATATTATCTTCATGACCGTATGCTCGGCGCATGGGCTATTTTTCCGCCCTCAATTTCTTTCCCGTATATTGTATGTACACAAGATATTAAGTACCAAGTCTACGTGAAATAAAAAATTTCCAGGCTCCCAATAATAATTGCAAATTAGAAAAAGTAAAAGTACATGGAATTACTTTGCAAAACGATGGGGAACACAAGGTGAGCTCTCAGCTGAGGAACGCACAGAGATGATTTGTATGGGAAGCCGCCAAAGAGGAGGCCAGAGGGAAAAGGGATCTGGATCTAGGCCTTTCTAAAAAAGTATCACCATAGAATTTTAAAATGGTCATTTTTAAAAGACGCACCTTTGTGGTTTATCACTAGGTTTGGGCCCATGAAAAACCAAAAAAAAAACACTAAAAAATCAAAGAAATGACTTTGAACCATCAGTAGGAGTTGTACATACAAGGTATTTTTTTTGAGTTTGCAACACCAGTACAAATTTTGACACACCAACAAGTCTGGCTACGTAAATTCCTATGACAAAACAGTACTACAAGGATTTTGAACCACTTGTGCTTTGAAAACAAAAGATGCAATGAGTCAATCAACGACATGACTTCCTCCATCAAGTTCCTATGCATTCAATGCGGCTTTGGAGAAAACAGTTCATATTCATGTGCCATTTCAATTGGATGGCGCAAGCCTGTGCTAAATGGTATGCAATAGAGATGTATTGGCTCCATTACTTTCCAGTGTAGCACCTCCTGGACATGGTAAAAATAGTGTGAACAGAGCAAATCAGGAAGAATCAGGATTCAACGGCCATCAGAGAAGTAGAAGGAATCATGCAGACATATGATGTTTGTAGTGATTATATTTGAACAATGAATGCCAGATTGAAGCAAATACTGAAAGACAACGCACGGCGGAAACAGAAACAAACCATGCATGCCAGCGACACAGGTTTTGGATGTTAGAATAAAGCAAAATGTGCTCTATCGTGAGTGCCTTTAGCGCTCAGAACAAACTCTCTGCAATCTAAATTTGTAATCGATTGTACAACACTTTCACAACAATAGTTCTCCTGTGTCTAG